TGTCCGCTCGATATCTCGAGTAATTATTAACGGATTAACTTCAAACTTCACAACAAGGTTAATTACCATGAAACCTCAGACAAGTTCGATAACCGCCATTATCTGACCATAATAAGATTGTTTGGATGGCATTATAACATGGTAATACTCCAATAATATAAATGACTGTAATTAAAATGAAAGTTTTCTGTTAACTCATTTATGTACCAGTTATGTTGAACGATTTCTCCTAAACAACAATTATTCCTAAATATTTTTTTAATGAATTAACTTCAAAATTTATGACGAGGTTAATTTCCGTAGAGGCTTGGACAAGTTTGATAACCATTATTATCTGACCGTAATTATTGGAGTTATTCCCCTTGGTTTCATTAATGCGATGCATGCATTCCATGATGTTGTATTGCACTCATTGATCTACCAGTTATGTTGAATGATTTCCCTTTTAATATCAATTACTCACAAATACTTCATATATTTCAATCATACAAACAACTGCTCATTCAATGTGTGACGGGCGTATTATATACCGCTCGCGGTAACCTTGTTCATTCTATTTTGAAGTGTTGTTTGATTTGAAATTTATTATTTTGTTAAGGAAATTGTGTGTCCGGAACAGTTATATGAGGATGTGATAGAGGTCGAGGAGAGAGTTGTGTTCCAGCAGGATAAGTGTGAGATCAGAAAAACCTGTCCTATTGTCACTGGTACAACCGGTGAAAAGGTAAGTAAATGGCTCACTGGTACAACCGGTGAAAAGGTCAGTAAATGGCTCACTGGTACAACTGGTGAAAAGGTCAGTAAATGGCTCACTGGTATAACTAGAAAAAAGATAAGTAAATGGCTCACTGAAACAACTGGTGAAAAGGTAAGTAAATGGTTCACTGGTACAACCGGTGAAAAGGTCAGTAAATGGTTCACTGGTTCAACAGGTGAAAAGGTAAGTAAATGGCTCACTGGTACAACTAGAAAAAAGGTAAGTAAATGGCTCACTGGTACAACTAGAAAAAAGGTAAGTAAATGGCTCACTGGTACAACTAGAAAAAAGGTAAGTAAATGGCTCACTGGTACAACTAGAAAAAAGGTAAGTAAATGGCTCACTGGTACAACTAGAAAAAAGGTAAGTAAATGGCTCACTGGTACAACTAGAAAAAAGGTAAGTAAATGGCTCACTGGTACAACTAGAAAAAAGGTAAGTAAATGGCTCACTGGAACAACTGGTGAAAAGGTAAGTAAATGGCTCACTGGTACAACCGGTGAAAAGGTCAGTAAATGGCTTACTGGTATAACTGGTGAAAAGGTAAGTAAATGGCTCACTGGTATAACTGGTGAAAAGGTAAGTAAATGACTCACTGGTACAACTGGTGAAAAAGTAAGCATCATGGTACAACTGGTGAAAAGGTAAGTAAATCACTCACTGGTACATTAAATGACTTATTCTTTCTAATCCTTAGGTTTGAAGTAATGATTTTTTATCTATAGCTAGCTCTTCCAAGTTATTCAATTAAATGACCTTGACTTTCATTTAAGGTCACCAGGGTTATATATGAAAAAATCTTTGAACAGCTGCTTCTGCAGATATAAAAATAAAGCCTAGGATCATGGTAATTGGTCAGTACCTTGGAGTGATAGAGGGCTATTGTTACTATAGTAAGTTTTGCTAATTTGACTGTTACAATACTACCAGGTTGACTGTTTTATTTTATGATCAAATGTTGTTAACAGTTTGAATTGTACCTTCACAGCTGGAAGTTTGGCGTACTGTGGATGTGACGAAGTTACGAAAGGACTTGCAACAGCTATTAAACCGAGGGATTCGGAGTCTGGCTGTTGTCTTACTTCACTCCTACACGTAAGGCCAGACAAAGGCAGAGATGATTTACATCTCTAGACTCAGATAAATACTTAGTAATGCAAACATGTTTAAGGGGAGGATTCAATAGTGTGTCAGTCCGTTTCCTTTTTCTGTTCTCACATGTACAAATGCTCTAACATAGAATCAGATTGCTGAAACAAGTCAATAACTTACAGACACATTTGTAGATGTGAAAAGTCAGGGTAAAGAGGTTAAATCTACTAGACGTACATGGAGCAGACAACATCTTCTCCGAATTCTACCCCTTTATATCACATTGGGAATCAGCTTTCTATTTTGGTCAGCTGGTTATGTTGTAAATCACTAACTCCAGATGAGTGCAGAGTTATCACATTATAACCTGACCAATAATAGAAAACTAATCCTTATATATACAGCATTCTTTGTGAATGGATTGTAACTTATAATTTTATGCATCAATCTGTTGACCAGATGTAAATAATATTTTCAAATCTTATTAAAGTGTGATCAGCAGTGATATTTGCATTATTCTTGATTTTTTTACTCTGCCTACATCTACTGTTGTTGATGTCGAACAATTGTATGTCATTCACAGAAAAGTTGCACACCACTTTTGTTTTCGACACCATCAAAATTTGTCACGTTTTATGGCCAGATTATGAGATGATAACTCCAGATTACAGGAACAATAGTTTTAGGATGAATGTCAGTGAAGATTGTTAGTATCAATTATTATCACCATCAGCTTTGCAGACCATGAGCAAGAGGTTGGACGTGTAGCAAGGGAGATGGGTTTCCACCAGGTGTCGCTGTCTTCAGATGTCATGCCGATGGTCAGGGTTGTTCCACGTGGCTATACAGGTAATTCTTAGTCTGCCCCTTGAAACCATTAGAACTGAAGGTTTGAAAGCCTATACAAATATTCATACCAGTGTAATATTTTAGCAAGAAATTGCTTGAGTCATTGCAAAACTACTATCTTAGAAGTCATACATCTGCATTAAAGCCATTTTGGTCTCTGTGGAGTATAACATATAGATAGATAGAACATATGAGCAAACAAATTTATTCACTCGACATTTGGCCTGGCAATCTGAAATATTTCTGAGAAATATTAAGAGGTACATGTTCTGTTACTGTGAACTGTTTTGCACCTGTTTTGACAGCCTGTGCTGATGCATACCTGACTCCCTGTATCAAGAACTATGTCGCTGGTTTTGCCTCCGGCTTCCAGGGAGGGGTGAAGGTAAGACTGAGTCACAAGGAAACCATAACAAATAAAGGTCTGTGAATCCAACCAAGAACAAGGTACCTTCAATATCAGTCATTTATAAACCTGCTGCTTTATCCCTTATTTGGTACATTACATGTTAATTTCTAGTGGTCTGACATCTTCATTGCTTCTATGCGGTATACTGTTTGGTTGGTAATTTTTACAGGGATTGAAGTTTGCTATATTTGTGGTCATCAAACATGGGTCAAATAAAAAATAAATACCCAGGAAATATTAATATCATGAATATACAGAGGTAAGAGACCTGTTTAAACTGTTACTGCCGAAAAGTGATGATAATACGATTCACATTGTATTTGATGTTATTTTGATAAAACACTTAATTAGTTCATTCGCCCAAATACAAAAGTACCCTCTTGAGTGCAATATTTTAACCTGCAAGTTTGCACTAAATTAATACCTGTAGTTTTCATCTGGCTTTGACTATATACATGTACATTTCCCTGTGAGACTTGGGTGCCTCATGTGGCATCACCAAAGTGTTACGTTTTAGATAAGATAGTGCTTGTGATGCTATTGTACATTTTTCAATTTAAAACTATCAACAAGAAGTTTTCAACAAGGACAGACTGAATCATCTGTCATGATGAATCCCTATATCATTAAACATATTCTTATGGCATGAGATGAACTGGACTTATTATGGATCATTCCCAAAGTCACCCATATACCCTATACCCACCAGAAAACATTATTAGAGAAAAAATCAGATAGGAAAGGGCTATCATAATAATTAACGTTCACTGCTTATTAACTCTTTAATTTTCCATGGATCTTTATGCATGTATTTATTATTGCTGAGGGTTCAATACCACACTGAGTTCTGCTATATTAACATTCTAGCTGTGCTGTAAAATTCTGTTTATAATAAGGGGCCGCGGCCCCCATGTGGTTAAGGCCTCTGACATTCTGCTTACCATGGCCACTATCCCTCCACCACTGGGTCACCAGTTCAAGACCTATGTAGGGCAATCCCCAAGTACTGGCTGTAGAACGGTGTTTTTTCTCCGGGATGTGGGATGTAAACACCAACAAACCAAGTTGTTTATAATTATTATATAAAGCTTCATTACACCTATAAATTATAGAGTGCTCATTGGTTGTTTTCCAAGTGTGTTTCATTCTATCTCAGGGTACTCGTGTGTTGTTCATGCAGTCTGATGGTGGACTCACCCCGGTGGATCAGTAAGATTTTTACTTGTTTGAAAGTCCATATTGAATGTACCACACATAAGCTAAGTGTCATGTCTGTCTGGCCTCTGTCTACCTACTTAATTAACACACAAGATTGGTACTGAGATAATCTGTTCTCAAGGATGTACCACTGCCAAAACCTGTAAATGTACAGTGGAAACCAGCATGACTTTATATAGCTTTTATAACCCATTTCTAAAATGAAAACCATATCTTGTGGGACGTTTATGCACAAATAGTAAAGATGAAATTATCAAAATGTAATCAACAACAGTATTCTGAGTGTAAAGAATGAGTAGGGCTGGACGGGGGATGGAACTTTAGAATTCAAATTGGTGTGCTATAGTGTATACCTCTAGTTCTAAACAGCTCAGCTATCTGGTCAACAGATCACAATTATTACTTGAGGTCAAACATAAATTACCTGATTTGTACAGTCTATTGTATGTGGCTATTTTATGCTTCATTGGTTTAATTTGTTGTTAATTTACAGTAAAATCTTGTTATACTGCCACTAACTGTCAAGACAAATCTTGGCATTATAAAAGGTTTGGCAATAACTTAAGGGAAACGTACAAAGGAATTCATAAACACTTGTGAAAAAAGGACCTTATAGAAATACTTAAGTGAGATGGCAAATTAAACGAGGAACATGGAGGCTTCACTATGTTATCTGCCAAATATTTCGTTTTTGCCTTTTGTTAGATACTTTCTCCTACATATCAATTATGTAGCTGGATCTCGATGAATAAGTTATCTTCCTGCCATTAATAAAACTGAACATTTGTGCGAGTAACACTGGTCAGTAGGTAACCATATGTATTGTCCTTTACCTGCAAGGGTAAGCTACACATGTAGGATCACTTTATCAAAAACAACTGTAGTTTCTGTATGACCAATGTGACCTGCAAATGAGATATATTTTCAGATTTAATGGGTCAAGAGCGATACTGTCTGGTCCAGCAGGGGGAGTGGTAGGGTACGCCCTCACAACATACAAAAAAGAGTCTGACCTGCCTGTCATTGGGTTTGATATGGGAGGTAAGTCATGTAAGATGGAGAACCATTTGATATGTATTGCGTTGTTTTTTTATTAGAATTTCAGGTACAGGTTTGATTAATTGATAAATTATTGTGCTCCTTGAATTAGAACCAAAATTGATTATTAATGTTCATGTATAAGGACACCTGAAGTCGCTATGTGAATTAGATCTACCGCTACAAAAAAGTACCTGTATTTAGAAAACATACAAGTTATAACCAGACACCTGGGAGAGATCAATATGTTGACCATTGTAGACAAGTTTTTCTTTTTTTAGGAACATCTACAGATGTAAGTCGGTATGCTGGACAATATGAGCATGTGTTTGAGACCACTACTGCTGGAGTGACCATCCAGGCTCCCCAGGTAGGTCAAACATACGGACACTTGTCAGACATGTTTTGTATTCCCTTTGTAACCTTCACATTTAGGTCAAAGATGAATCAACTACCAATCAAATAGGTATATTGGCTGTTTAGGGGAAACATGATTCATATTTCTAGTTTTAACAATCACAATGATATTCTCATTCACCAAGGAAAAACTGGTCTTGTTTCCCTCTCTTAAATTCCAGAATGGTCAGTAAGTCCCCTTCTCTGGAATGCCAGACCTTTCTACCAAGCCTGGCAGACTAGTCAGATTTTCATTGACAAGGCCAGACCTTTCTACCAAGCCTGGCAGACTATATATATATAGCTAGTCAGATTTTCATTGACAACGCCAGACCTTTCTACCAAGCCTGGCAGACTAGTCAGATTTTCATAGACAACGCCAGACCTTTCTACTAAGCCTGGAAGACTAGTCAGATTTTCATTGACAATGCCAGACCTTTCTACCAAGCCTGGCAGACTAGTCAGATTTTTATTGACAACACCAGACTGGCATTTTACCCTATTTATAATGAAAAGCATGTCTGTTTCCAATTCTGCAATGCCTGCTTCATCTGTTTCCCTTTCTGTAACAAGCCGGACTGCTCTGTTTACCCAAAGTACAAGGCTATATTAATCTTTTTTACCTCCCTACAAGAACCGATTTCCCCTCTAAAATGCCAGACATGTCTGCTTCTCATGACTATATAACTGCTCTGGTCCGTTTCAGCTGGACATCAACACTGTGGCAGCAGGCGGGGGATCAATGCTGTTTTTCCGGGCTGGACTGTTCGTTGTAGGGCCAGAATCAGCTGGGGCAGACCCTGGCCCGACCTGCTACATGAAAGGTATCATTTTTAGCTCGCCTATTTGGAGAATGGGGGGCGTCACTATCACTGTCGGTGCCCACCTTCTGAGGTTAAAGTGTTTGGGCAAGTTTTTTCCAGACAGTGTTGGATCATCACACTCAATACACAGTTGTCTTTGATGCGGTTAAGGCATTTATATCTAGTGTAAGCAATGTGCTGGACCATATTTTCATATTTTAGGGGCAAAAACAGCTTAATTTGACTTGGTATAAGTTTTGAGGCAAGCTTGAGATTAATTTTTTTTGTGTAGTGTTGGATTACCACCATCAATAGGCTGTTGTCTGTTATAAGGTTGAAGTATTTATATGGAGTGTAAGCAATGTTCTGAAGTATATTTTCATTATTTTTGGGGCCAAAACTAGTTAGTTGGACTTGGTTAAAGTTTTTGGGCAAGTTTTTTATGCAGTGTTGGATCGGTCACCACGATCAATACACTGTTGACTATTTCAAGCTGGCTGGTCTTCTCTTCTTACATGTTAAGGTACAGCAACACCTTGTTATATTGCCACATTTGTTCAAAGAAATGTTGGCCTTATAAATGGGTTTGGCAATAAATTGAGGGAAATGTATAAGGAGTTCCTTAGAAAAACATAATTAAGGGACCTGAAAATATGTTGGCGGTATGCAAGGTGGCAAATGAAATGATGAGCATTATATCAAGGTTTTACTGTAGATATTTGCTATATCTTACAACATATATCACCAATAGGCAAGCTATGCTGTTCTCCAACAGCTCTTGTTGATAAGTGCATGGATATCAAACTTGGTAAAAAAAGGTGAAAAATATCACTTTTTCAAAAAACCAGATAAATTTCATAAAGTTAGAAAAATATTTATTGTTTTTTATTGGCTGCACTTGTACAATATCACATAGGTGGACCACTGACCATCACAGATGCAAACCTTTGTTTGGGGAGAATCCTGCCAGACTATTTCCCTAAGATCTTTGGAAAGACACAAGATCAACCTCTGGATGAACGAATGACACGGAAGGCCTTGCAGAAGTTGACCAGAGAGGTTTGTTATATCTGATACCTACCAAATGACTTAATTGTGAATCCACAGAGAGGTTTGTTATATCTGATACCTACCAAATGACTTAATTGTGAATCCACAGAGAGGTTTGTTATATCTGATACCTACCAAATGACTTAATTGTGAATCCACAGAGAGGTTTGTTATATCTGATACCTACCAAATGACTTAATTGTGAATCCACAGAGAGGTTTGTTATATCTGATACCTACCAAATGACTTAATTGTGAATCCACAGAGAGGTTTGTTATATCTGATACCTACCAAATGACTTAATTGTGAATCCACAGAGAGGTTTGTTATATCTGATACCTACCAAATGACTTAATTGTGAATCCACAGAGAGGTTTGTTATATCTGATACCTACCAAATGACTTAATTGTGAATCCACAGAGAGGTTTGTTATATCTGATACCTACCAAATGACTTAATTGTGAATCCACAGAGAGGTTTGTTATATCTGATACCTACCAAATGACTTAATTGTGAATCCACAGAGAGGTTTGTTATATCTGATACCTACCAAATGACTTAATTGTGAATCCACAGAGAGGTTTGTTATATCTGATACCTACCAAATGACTTAATTGTGAATCCACAGAGAGGTTTGTTATATCTGATACCTACCAAATGACTTAATTGTGAATCCACAGAGAGGTTTGTTATATCTGATACCTACCAAATGACTTAATTGTGAATCCACAGAGAGGTTTGTTATATCTGATACCTACCAAATGACTTAATTGTGAATCCACAGAGAGGTTTGTTATATCTGATACCTACCAAATGACTTAATTGTGAATCCACAGAGAGGTTTGTTATATCTGATACCTACCAAATGACTTAATTGTGAATCCACAGAGAGGTTTGTTATATCTGATACCTACCAAATGACTTAATTGTGAATCCACAGAGAGGTTTGTTATATCTGATACCTACCAAATGACTTAATTGTGAATCCACAGAGAGGTTTGTTATATCTGATACCTACCAAATGACTTAATTGTGAATCCACAGAGAGGTTTGTTATATCTGATACCTACCAAATGACTTAATTGTGAATCCACAGAGAGGTTTGTTATATCTGATACCTACCAAATGACTTAATTGTGAATCCACAGAGAGGTTTGTTATATCTGATACCTACCAAATGACTTAATTGTGAATCCACAGAGAGGTTTGTTATATCTGATACCTACCAAATGACTTAATTGTGAATCCATGCACCTTCCGCTGGTTGAAACCATAATGCTTATATAGCCATTATGTGTAGGAAATCTGGACCGGTCGATCAGCAGTAACGAATTGGCTCAACTGATAAAGCATCTGTCTATACTATATGGTTCCAGGTTTATACATCAGTCTATCCTGTAATGGTGAAAATAATGAAGTATTGACTAAATTAAGTGATTTACGGGAAGATTCCATTAAAAATAGAAAAGAAATAGATCCCAAGTGTATGTCAGTAAAGTTTACCTATATACTGCATAATTGGATGATTAATGTTACAGTACTTATCATTGTCAGGTTAATGAGTTTCTGTTACATCAACATGGCACAGAGAAACACCAGCCAATGACAGCAGAGGAGGTTGCTATGGGCTTCATTCGTGTTGCTAACGAGACCATGTGTCGACCAATCAGAGCTCTTACACAGGTAGACATTATAATGTACTGTTCATTGTTTTATAAAGTGCTTCAGATAAATCATGAATGCATTTATAAATGATTGTATATTTTATTCAGCTGAATGATGCCATTGCTGAGTTATCATGTACAGATATAATTTAAATAAAATAAAATGCATTAGCACATCAAAGCTTTCCTGAAACAAATTATACTTCAAAAAGCATGTTTCTTAAGTTTAAAGCAGCATATCCATAAAGTCACAATGTTTCGTACAAAAATCTAATAAGCATGACTATTATATATACAATATATATAACGGATTAACCTTCCTCAGGCCAGAGGTCATGACACGTCACGCCATGTACTTGCCTGTTTTGGTGGAGCGGGGGGACAACATGCCTGTGCTATAGCCCGATCACTGGGGATGACACAGGTGTATGTTCACAGGTATGTTGAATACAGGTATACGTACACAGGTATGTTAAATACAGGTATACGTACACAGGTATGTAATACAGAGATATCAAACATACAAACAATACCTGTCTATACAGGTATACGGACACAGGTATGTTAAATACAGGTATACGTACACATGTATGTAATACAGAGATATCAAACATAGAAATAATACCTGTCTATACAGGTATACGTACACAGGCATGTAATACAGAGACGTCAAACATAGATATAATACCTGTCTATACAGGTATACGTCCACAGGTATGTAATACAGAGATATCAAACATACAAACAATACCTGTCTATACAGGTGTACGTACACAGGTATGTAATACAGAGATACCAAACATACAAACAATACCTGTCTATACAGTTGTATGTACACAGGTATGTAATACAGGTATTCGTACACAGGTATGTAATACAGAGATATCAACATACAAACAATACCTGTCTATACAGGTATACGTACACAGGTAGGTAATACAGAGACGTCAAACATAGATATAATCCCTGTCTATACAGGTATACGTCCACAGGTATGTAATACAGAGATATCAAACATACAAACAATACCTGTCTATACACGTATACATACACAGGTATGTAATACAGAGATATCAAACATAGATACAATATCTGTGTTGTATTATGGGTATACTTATCTGCATTGTGTAATGGTTATACCTATCTACTGTAGGAAAGCCTAAAGGTTGTGTTTTAAATAAATCTTCCTTATGTTGTGTCATTAGAAGTTTAACTGTGTAATTTGTTATATGGTACACCTACCTGTATTGTTTTGTTGTAGGTATGCTGGTATTCTGTCTGCCTATGGTATGGCATTGGCTGATGTGGTTCATGAGGCTCAGGAGCCATGTGCCAGGAAATACGACCAAAGTATGTCTGTCATAACCAACTAAGTATTCTTGACTAAAGCGATGATATATACAACAATGTTATATAAGTTGTGAGGCCCTTCTGGTCAGTATATGTCAAGTGTATCTTTTGGAAGGAAACAGAAAGATGGAAAGGACTACTGGGATTTTTTTTGTTGCTTTTTGTTTTAACTTCAGATTTCTCATAATTATATTTTTATTCAGATACTTGAATGATATAGCAAGAAAGTTATCACAAAGTAATGATATGTTCACATACTCTGGTTTTGTTGTAGGTTCTTTTGCTCACCTAGACAGTCGCATTGAACACCTGAGTGAAGGATGTACACAGGAACTATTGAAGCAGGGATTTGACAGGTAAATAATTCTTGTTGAAGCAGATATATACCATGGAAACACTTCTTAATATGGAAAGTTAACATGAAAATATGTCTTGTTGAAGCAGGTCTAGGTTTGATATGAACATTGATGAAGCAGGGATTTGATAGGTAGATACATATTTTATAGTTCTTGTTAAAATAGGGACTGGACATGGAAACAGTTCTAAATATAAAGAAAGCGTTTGATCTGGATATAGATATTGTCAGAGAATAGAGATGGTGTGTCAATAGGTGTAGCTGACTAAGGATTTTGATATGAAAATATTTCTGACAGAAGCAGAGAAATTTGTCTGTGAAATACTTCAGATCAAATGTGATAAGAGTAGTAGGATTGCTGTCTTGTGATTCAATAAAATTATTTGCAGTTTTTATACTCACATAATAGATATACACAATAGCTATACAAATTCAAGATAGCATATAGTTAAAAAGATAATTGATACACATCCAAAGAGAGAACAATGTGAATATATATATAGCTGTCATGTAGATGAGTCCAGGCTTACATTGTTGTATAAGTTAATTTATCAAAACTGTACTGTACTTAGCAACAATTCTATGTAAAAAATCTTTCAGTTAATGAAATCACAAATATTTTCATGCTTACTAAGCATGGAAATCTACTTGTGGTATATACATGATCTATTCTGTGTCCTTATAGACTGTTACTTTTTCAGAAAACAGGTAGAGACCCTCCCCTTCCTACATATGCGGTACGACCGGACAGACTGTGCCCTGATGATTTCTACAGAGGGGCATCCTGCTGGACCAGGGACTTGTAAACACGGAAACTTCCGAACAGCATTCCAGGAAAGGTATATCCCATGTTCTCTCCACAGGAACATGTAAACAACTAGTAACACTTTATATATTATGATATTTCATGACAATAAGGATGGTTTATTTCTATTCTATACATGATAACTCATGTATACTGGTATATTCAATTCAATGATTTTCAAAGGCATATTGCGTCTTTTCGTATTGCAGAGTTATCTGCTCTTGTGAGCAGGTATTGATTGTTGCGTCGTTTGTTTGTGAGAGTAACGTCATACATTTTTGAGAAAACAATGTTATTTTCTCACACAAACTAATGACATAACAATCAATACCTGCTCACAAGAGAAGATAACTCTGCAATACGCAAAGAGGGAATAACCTTATGTACAATCATGTAAACTTCTTGAGTTTAATTAAAATTATTTTAACTGAAGAAAAATGAAGACATAATAGACAGAAATATTTGGAGAACTATTCTTTTGAGAGGCAGGTAGAGAGGGTAAATCCTTGTTTTAATAGAGAGAAAAAGCAATATATTAACTATACACTTAGTAGCCCTGATATACAGCAGATCAGAGAATGATCGTTTATACATACAGTAGATTGTCCTATATATCAAATACACAGCTAGTACATGGATATCTTTGGTGTTACAGATATCAGACTGAGTTTGGTTTCACTATACCTGACCGACCGATTGTTGTTGATGACATAAGGATACGAGGGGTTGGTAAAACGTTTGTCAGTTTAGAGGAATCGACAGCTGAAGTCACAGAACCACCAAGGGTGGAAAAGGTACATATACCTCAGCTATAATAAATAATCCTAATAAACTGTTACAAAGTGATTGTGTTAAAAATAATACGGTTCTTGTTTTGGGCAGCCTTAAAAATCAAATTAGAATAAATGACCATGAGATACTATGTACATGTATAGATATTTTAGGCATGCCATTTTCCTTAATACCATTTTTCATAGTCAAGCAGATAATATATAACACACATATGTCAGTTTCCGGAGTCATTTAATGAAGCCTTAAAATGTAATCCATCTACGCACATACATCAGTTTCATTGTGACTCAAAACTTTTGTAAATATGCTAGATGGATTTTTTTATTGCTTTAAAGATGGTGTGTCTTATAACCAGTACCTTCCCTGACTATACATACACTGTAACACAGAGACATTTCTTAAACCAGGTCACCCGCTGCTATTTTGAAGATACATATTACAACACAAATGTGTACTTACTGGAGGATCTAGGGAGGGGTCATATGATTGAAGGTCCTGCCATCATTATGAATGGAAACAGGTTTGTAAAATAGAACTTTATAGTCTAACACAATAGGGTGATAATGATTCCAAAGTTGGACAAAGATAGAGGATTATACTGATCTAGATGACTCATGATTCAGTAATCGGGGCCCAAAACATGTCTTCACATATTTTTTGTTGTCTTTATCGAGATTTCCTCCATATCTGTCTTTAGTGTTTGGTTTTCTAGATATTTCACTTTGGCATTGTTTCTGAAGATGACATGATGATTTGGCATTGTCTGTATCATGAACGAAATGCATAGGATTTGTGATGTTTTTTTTGTTAACATACTTTTATTTGTTCAGTAAAGTGGCGATTGATTAAACATCATTTTGGTATCCATTAAGGTGTGTTCCAATTTCTTCAATAATTTGATTCCTTGCAGTTCTTAATCAAACAAAACAGGTGGTTTATGAATTTTCATGCAAGGTATCTTATGATGGGTATACTCGGTAAAAAGAACACTATATTATAGAAAATGGAATGAAATATTGAATTGTAGATATTTACAGCTCATGATCAGTCTCATGGAAAAAGATTTTTCATAATTTTTGGTTTGAAAGTAATCTGGAGTTGAATAGAACCTGTTTATCTATTTTACAGTACAATTTTGGTGGAACCAGCCTGCACTGCGTCAATAACAAAATACGGGGATGTCAAAATGAAGGTAGGCAGCTTAAGCTTGGTGGTGCTGAAGTAGAGAATCCCTAGGTATTCCATTGCTACAAGTCAAAATGTTTATCAGAATTACTAATATCTCAAAAATGTGGGGTGAATGTTGATATTAAGATATTTTTTTATTTATTTTTTAACAAATTTTCATTATAAATGGATTTGATTAATGTAATAGTTTCTGTCACTTTGATTTGAGATTATGAAATTTCCAAGTTACTTAATACTAGGAGACATCATGTTTTTATGGTGTCTTGATATTTTGCATACTTTTCATATATGGTATAGTTAGTACATGCACTGATCATAAGTTGTCAACACTAAAGATTTGTAAATGTTTTTCAATCGTTTTGTCATATTTCCTTCGTACAACTGAGCCTGGGTCACCTACCACTTACCACTGTAACTACTAAATAACAAATATTTGTAATAACCTTAAATGAAAACAAATACCAAACCATCTGTCTGTTGCGGTCTAGATTGGAAGTGGAAAGTTACAGGAGATAGGTCCAGAACTTGATGCTATCCAACTGTCCATCTTCTCTAACAGATTCATGAGTATCGCCGAGCAAATGGGACGGTAAAGAATTCTAACAAAGAAATATTGCATAGCTTAAAGATATTACAGGAATAATGCTCTGTAAGTCAGACTGTTACAGTAATTCTGCAGTTTGTACTGTATTTTAAAACCTAAACTGTAAATTTGCTGTGCAACAAAGATGGTAGAATTCTTTTTGAATCACATTAGATTCATGAATTATAGCTTGACTATATAATCAAATACTAGGAAAATAAAAAATGTTAGAAAACTAATTAAATATTGATGGTAAGTCGATTTATTTTCCTTCTCAAATTGAGATGTTTTAATATAAAGGTCTTGGTATGATTTTGTCATTCGAAAGTCCATTTTATGATGATATTTGTAGTAAAATTTATATTAAGTTAAGATTTAAATTTCTGTTTGTATTCAATATTGCATCGTTAAAATGATTTTTGATAATTTCATGAAAACCCCCCAACATCTTTTCAAATTAAACAACCACAAGTATGAGACATTCGTATAAAGGACTGTTTTTAATTGTTAGTAAGATAATGACATACATGCTGTGTTTTATAAATAGTAAGCATAAAAATCAAATTAATGGATTACAATTGGATTGATAGGGTGCTGCAGAGGACATCTATCTCCACAAATATCAAGGTAAGAATTTCTGTACAGGCTAATGGTACCAGACAGATTTAACTCATTCACCCCTGGAAGAGTTCAAATGTTTCATCAGGTGTGAATGAGTTAAGTATCCAGTAATCCCAAAAGGGCATTATAATTCTCAATCAAGCAGGAGGAACAATAGGCCTGTAGCTTATGAACAAGATGCCACTATTTTGCTGTTCAAATAAAACAAATATAGTGGTTAATTATACCCCCGCAACGAAGTTAGGGGGGGGGGAGGGGGTATATTGGGATCACCCTGTCTGGATGTCTGTCTGTCTGTCTGTCGTCCGCAGTAACTTGTTCGTGCAACTCCTCCTCAATTAACTGGTGGATTTCATTGAAACTTCGCATGAATGGTCAGTATCTTATGTAGTTGTGCACCGGCATTTTAATTTTAGAGTTCGACCCTATTTAATGGAATTATGCCCCTTTTTGTGAAATACTTGTCTGCGTAACTTTTCCTTAATTAACATGTGGATTTCATTGAAACTTGCACGAATGGTCGGTATCTTATGTAGTTGTACACCGGCATTTTAATTTTAGATTTCGACCCTTTTTGATGGAATTATGCCCCTTTTTGTGAAATACCTGTCCGCGTAACTCCTCCTTAATTAACAGGTGGATTTCATTGAAATTTTGCACGAATGGTCGGTATCTTATGTAGTTGTGAACTGGCATTTTAATTTGGAATTTCGACCCTTTTTGATGGAGGTATGCCCCTTTGTGCGAAATACGTGTTACTAGTGGCACACTATGGATTGCTTTGCCTTAGGAAGCCTTTAACTTACAGTTCTTGTTTATATAGCAACGTATGTATTTTATAATTAATGTTTGAGTTGATAATCAATAGTCATTTATGATGGATATACACAATTCAAAGTTTTAACAAAATTGTGGGATTACTAGATGTGCTGATTTGTGTTTCCCTGCCTTCAGGAGCGACTGGACTTCTCATGTGCCATGTTTGGTCCTGATGGGGGATTGGTAGCCAATGCTCCACACATACCTGTACATCTGGGCGCCATGCAGGAAACTGTCCAGTATCAGGTTGGTATCGTTCTCTGCCAGGTATGTATCGCCTCACACATTCTCCGTCATCTGAGTGCTGTACGTACCGGAAACTGTCCAGTATCAGGTTGGTATCGCCTCACACATTCTCTGTTATACCTGGGCGCCGTACTGACGACTGTTCACTGCCAGGTAGGTATTGCCTCACACATTCTCCATTATATCTGGGCGCCGCACTGATGACTGTTCACTGCCAGGTAGGTATTGCCTCACACATTCTCTGTTATATCTGGGCGCCGTATTGAAGACTGTTCACTGCCAGGTAGGTATTGCTTCACACATTCTCTGTTATATCTGGGCGCCGTACTGAAGACTGTTCACTGCCAGGTAGGTATTGCCTCACACATTCTCTGTTATATCTTGGCGCCGTACTGAAGACTGTTCACTGCCAGGTAGGTATTGCCTCACACATTCTACGTTATATCTGGGCGCCGTACTGAAGACTGTTCACTGCCAGTTAGGTATCACCTCACACATTCCCCCATTATATCTGGATGCTGTACGTACCGGAAACTGTCCAGTATCAAGTTGGTACCGCCTCACACATTCTCCATTTTCTCCCACAACTAATATAGGTTTACTCACTCTCAATTTATTGAATAAACCTGCAAGGAGTTGGTAATCATTTTTGGTTACCCACTAGTGGGTTATATCCTGAACATGATTTCATTGGTCAATCTTCTAACTATGACATCAACTAACAATGCGTTATGACATCATCTTCCAATATGTGACGTCATATAGTTCATGGCAATTGTTTCTCCATCTGACACAGGAAAAATGTACTCCCAAAGACAAACCTGGTTTTATATATATAATGCCTGAACCTTATGGGAGAAAAGTTCCTTAAACTTGTGATAGTTAATTATCATGTTTATCTAACTCTCATTGGTTCATTTTCAAACTATTAAAAGACACTTGGTAAACCTTGTGTCTATATACAATTTGAAAATTAACTAACCTGAGTTAGATAAAAATGATAAGCAACCAGCACCTCTATATATCAGGGCACTATACCGGAGACCGTTCAGTACTAGGTAAGTATCACCATGCTGGATTCCAGTTACAGGTAGGTGTTCCCCGTCCCCCTAAAAAAAATATCGAATATTGTGGAAAGAATTTAAATTGGCCTGTGACTCTATAAACATTTCTAATTAGGATTTATACTTTTGATTGACAGCTTCGGCAGCTAGGAACAGGTATACGTGATGGTGATGTGATCCTGTCCAACCACCCCCAGGCCGGGGGGAGTCATCTACCAGATCTTACAGTCATCACCCCGGTAATATATCATAGTTCACAGGTCCTCATTTCATCCTGTATTTTAATGATTAATTTCTAGATATTTAGATTGCATTTCAAGCAAGTTATTCAGAAGCATATGACAGGAAGTCTTATATGATATATTAGGCCTGTGTTAAAATACTTTTGAATAAATATTCTCCAACATTCTTTGAATTTACGTTTTTCGACCGATCTCTTTGAAACTTTGCATACATTATAATCATGATATGAAGTTATGTCTCCATTAAAAGAATTTTGATTCGACAATTTTACCAAATGTTTTACCCTTTGTTCATTTCAGTATTAGATTTTTTGTCTGAAGATCTTCTCCTACATTTTTTGACGGATTTCTTTGAAACTTAGTAGGCTATGTTGTTGTGTTTCCCTGAAAAGAATTTTGATTCAACAGTTATTGCAAAAGTTATTGCCCTTTGTTCATTTCAGTATTTGATTTTTGTCTGGAGATTTTCTCCTACACTTTTTATAGCATGTCAGCTAACAACTCTTAGAATGATGTAGATTTTATTTCAATGTAAGAAAGCATATAACACTATATGGCATATATTGTTCCACCTCGCGGTACTCTTAATAATAACCTAGGTGAAAAAGAATGATTGAATATTATGTGCGCAATGTCACAGTTATATGGGGCGTGATGAAATGGGTTTGTTGAATATAGAAAAAATATGATATATTTCACAGGTATTTTATCAAGGTGTGACCAAACCTGTTTTCTTTGTGGCAAGCCGTGGACACCATGCAGACATAGGGGGGATAACTCCAGGCTCAATGCCTCCACACTCTAAGTCTATAAATGAGGAGGGAGCGGTGTTTAGATCCTTCATGTTGGTCAAAGGAGGGGTTTTTATGGAGGAAGGTAAGTAATGTCAGGAATGGACCGGGAATAGCATTACTTAATGGAGTTGACAATTTAGTTTATGAAAAAAAAGTAATGGAAACAAATATTTCAGATTTATTATGAAAGAGTAACAAAAATAATATAGTTCTTGAATATTAAGCATTTAACAACAACCTCCATTCTACTGTTTCCCTCCTTTTATCATACCTACCTATGATGTTTTTTTGGTTCATCACATAAAATGGTCAGTGTTATCACGAACTGTTAATTTAAACAATGTATGTGTACTAATTAACTGTATGTTGAAGTACTTCTCTAATGTATTTACGTTTCAAGGGAGATGGCTTTATATAAGACTTAAAATCTTGTTGCCAGATCCCATTCTTATTTACCTGTGTACTTGTTATATAAGAAGAATGAAATGAAATACTGTTTAAACCAACAACAACTTCATTTTCTTTAAATTAAAAAAGAAATATAAAAAAACCAGATCTGGTAAATCATAGGCATATTTTACTTATTAAATGAAAATCAGGTGTTAAAAGATGATAACAAAATTTAGAACATCCACTGTGGTGAGTACAAATCCTAATGCTGTATCACACAGAGGTGACAGCAGCCCTGATGGAGCCCAGCAAGTATCCAGGTAGCAGTGGCACCAGGAATCTCCATGACAACCTGAGTGACCTCAAGGCCCAGGTGGCTGCTAACCAAAAGGTAATGTCATTGGAATTAAAATTATGTGTAGATTTAGAGGATGCTCTTCATTAATTGTATACTTATCCATGGTCTCAATAATCTATTTTTAAACTTGCAATGCAGTCTCCTCACCAATAAACACAAACATTTAATATCACAGAATAAAGTGACTATACTAATACTGTTTTATAAATGTCTAAGCTAAACAGTTCTTCAAAAAATACCACTATGTAATCAAAGACAATTTTGATTCAAAATTTCAAAACGCAACAAAAGTTTTAAGAATGTGTCTTATAGTTCTTTATACTAAGTAATTAGTCAGTAGTAATGTATTACATTGTATTAATCTATTATTAATTACAGGGTATCAGACTTATCAATGAACTGATAGACGAGTACGGTCTGGATGTTGTACAGGCCTATATGGGACATATACAGGTACAGCACAGACTGACATAAGTCTATCACTATATTTCAAATATCTTATACACACTTATTAACCCACATTTAAAGTGTTGCCAGACAGGTCACTTTTCATGGTCTCTATTTTCCTATGAGTGAGATCCATAAGTTAAACCAGGCAAAAATTGACAGTCAATAACAGAACTAAATATTAGAACATTTTATTGAAGCCTTGTAATTTATCATGAAGTGATAGCTATCAAACAATCTACCTGTGTGTGCTGTGAGATTGCTTTTCTGCCGGAATAGATATGATGAAATATTAATCCTTGTTACAATAACTAACGTAGGTAAACTGTGAGATTGTTTTACAGCTAGGATATGTACGATATCGTAATAATTCTACGGTTGTTATGATCCTAGGCAAATGCTGAGGTAGCTGTACAGGAAATGTTATGTGAAATTGCACGCAAAACCAAACAGAAGACTGGACGGTCGAGACTGACGGCAGAGGATTTCATGGACGACGGGTCAAAGATTGCTCTAGATGTGGAGATAGACGAAACAAAGGTTTGTGCTCTGTTCTTGTTTCTGTCCCTTTCAGTACATGAAAATAGGTTCTATTTTAAAAAATTTAAATTTAAATATAATCTTAACAGTACAAATGTAATACATTACGTATACAAGAGTTATTATTTAAGAGCTAGTTTAGTGATTTACTTATCTCTCATCATATAACACAGGATACTACGGAGCCCGTTAACTGACATGCTACACACTTATTTTATTTCGTTTTATCGAATTATTATTTCGTTTTTTCGAATTATTATTTCGTTTTATCGAATTATTATTTCGTTTTATCGAATTATTATTTCGTTTTATCGAATTATTATTTCGTTAAAACGAATTATTATTTCGTTTTTTCGAAATGTTATTTCGTTTTAACGAATTATTATTTCGTTTTAACGAATTATTATTTCGTTTTAACGAATTATTATTTCGTTTTTTCGAAATACTATTTCGTTTTTTCGAAATGTTATTTCGGTATAACGAATTTTTATTTCGTTTTTTCGAAATACTATTTCGTTTAAACGAATAAATGTCAGCCTCTCTTTCACTTATATAATGGCTGATTATCGTGGCGAGCTGTTGAAGAACTATTTCTTATTAGGTTTAAAGCATGATGACATTTGTTGGATTTTAAACCATAGACACGGATATTCTCTCAGTAGCAGACAATTGATAAGGCTTTTGCACAAAGCATCATTGTACAGATATAAACATGAGGCTGACATTATGACAGTTGCTGATTTTATACAGTCTGAACAACGAGGATCAGGAGTAATGCATGGATATCGATGGATGTATCAAAAAATG